GAAGGAAGGAAGGAAGGAAGGAAGGAAGGAAGGAAGGAAGGAAGGAAGAACGGAAGGAAGAAAAGAAAGAATGGGCTATCTGGCTATCTTTTGAACTTAAGGGATATATTTTTTCCCCTCTGTTGACAAGAGTGTTTACAGTGATGAGATCATAGTGGTAGACACACTCACCTGGAATACTGTTTTACTATAGAAGAATGGACCCTACCCAGGATTTATAAATGAGAAGATCTGGGAGACATCCTACATCTTAGTTGATATTGATATGGTTGATTTTAAAGTTCCATACATTCTTATTAGAAAAGTCAACTTATTGCTACACATATGGTTTCACCTCAATGTACATACTTGATAGAGAGAAAACAAAGAGAAATTTGACTAAGTGAAATGAATTTTCCACGATGTTGTGAAAGGCAAAAACAGAGAAAGTAATATCTTATTAGTAAAGTTTACATACTATTTAGTATTTAAAAAAACTAAATAAAGAAAAGGCAAAGTTTGGGTATTTCCCAAGACTTTCTGGCCATAGAACTTTTGTTCTGGAAGACTTTTGGAGATGATCTTTTTCATAACAAAGTCTCAGACAAAGGAACTAAACCCAGATGAAGAACAGTCTTCCAACTTTTTGAATTTTGATTGCCCTGGCTGTCAAAGATGGTGATTCCCTCCCTTGTCAGTAGGTATCCTCATCCTCCAGATAGTCTGTCTAAGCAGGATGCTCCAAAGATTTTTGCCTAAGCAGGTGCACATTGATTGCTTTGTCTTCCTGCAGGTATCATCCTTACTGAGAGGGGACATAACTGCAACCAGCAGCTATCAATGTAACATCAGGAAAATACCCCATCCCTGTTAGAATTTGGGAATAAATTTGTCATGTTTGGCTTTGGAACATGTCTAATTTTGAAGAATGAGCATCTCCAAGACAACAGCCTCCAATATAAATATAGATTATTTTCAAGTTTGCAAAGAACTTTGTACATTGATGGTTATATATTTATTCCTTATAATAATCTGTGGGAAAGTAGGAACAAAGTTTCATCTCCTCTTTTATGTTAAAAAGCCAAAGTTGACTTCAGTTTCTGACTTGCTCAGAATTATGACATATGACTTTCTCCTGTTGCCATCTTGCCCAACTCTAATCCTCTTTACTTGCCTCAGAATGATTTGCATTCATGTTTGCACCAAATCATTTATTCCTCCAACTAGTCTTTCACTTGAGAGATTTTTAGTGCATACCTGCTAAGTTCCAGACGTTATGTATATTATATAAATAAGTACTGAGATTGTGAATGAGATAGTAGATGTCGTTATTGGAAGATAATTTGAAATATAGCTTATTTAGTGACATCCTAAAGGTTAATTGACCTCAAAACTTAAAACCACATGTTATTCCTCGAAGGAAACCTAAAAGATCTCATAACTAATTGCCATCATTTTATTAAAAGATAAAACAAAATAGAATAAAAAATGTCTCCACTAGAGTAACTGAATTAGTTTGTATTGATGTGTAATAAACTATTGTAAATCTAGAAATAAAAATGACAGATGTACAGTCTTAAAATGTCCATGAGTTAGAGTCTGACTACAATATATTTTGATATGGTTATATTTTATGAGTAAAAAACAAAGCATTGGCTAGAATAGCCCTTATATTTTGCAATTCATGGAGTTACACTTTTAAGTTCCTTCCAATGATTTGAAGTTGTAGGACCCAGGTCATCATTCTCTTCTTGTTTTTTTTTTTTTTGCTAGGATTCTCTGCAAGATCATCATTGTCACTGTCCAATACTTTTAAACTATCCCACCCTCTTCAAAGTCATGAATAGCATGCTTTACATAGGTTCAGATGCCTCTGACTTGAAAATTATTTCCTCTTAAGTAACACAACTAATTTGAATAAGTCCTTCCTGATAACCTCTCTATCTTTAGGTTCCTTATATAAAATAACACAATTACTGAGCTGACAGCTTATCATAATAACAGTGATAGGAGATTTAATTGTGAAAAAATGCAGAGGAAGTAAGCATATTTAGAGTTTTCCCTCATATAGGAGCACAGCCAGCTTACAACAGAATAGGAAAAAAATATTCAGAATATTTATCTTTCTACAACGAACTAACCCACATTTAGGGGCTTAAAACAAGAATTATTGTCTAAACTCAGAATCCGTAGATTAGAAATTCATACCTGGATTGTTAAAGCAATTGTTCTCTACCTACTGTCGACTATAGCTCTCAATTGTGTACAACTAGTAGCTGGCCAGTCATGGAGGCTCCAATAAGGCACCAATGGTACTTAAGCAGAGATGTCAGAAGGCTGTTTTTTATTGACCAACAGTTTATTTTTAGGGTCTCTCATGTGGTCCCTGATCAGAATGGCCAGGTGGTTCAGAACGGTCTCTGAGCCTCACCAGGTATTTTTCCAAGGGACAGAGGTGGAATCAGCTGGCTGCTTCAGTTCTCGGTGCATAGTAGTCTGTTCTACCTCATTTTATTAATAAAACCCATGGCAAATCTAATGATTTTTCAAAAAGATAACCAGCCTCCTTTCTCTATAAGGAGTTTACATATAGAATATAGTTTTCATTTTTCTGTTTTAATCAAACAACCCACGTTACAGCAGAAGGGTGCACATTCCTTATAGACCTCATGAGAAAACGTTTTTTAACATAAAATTGAACTTACTCAAAATTATTTTTTAGTGAATTTATCTTAATATTTGAACTTATTGTTAAGTGTTTCACCAAGGTATTTATTTTGTTGTTTGTTTTAATAATTATTGTTTTTCTTTCTTGGCTTTTCTGGGGAATGACTATAGGGGATGGTTTCACATAAGCTGTAATCATTGTCTTATTTCGTGGGTGGATTACAGTGTGGGTACCAGGAGAGAGAAAGGACATTCTCCAAGTTGCTGGAGATGTCATTTATGGAAAACTCTCCAAATGTACATTCTACAATTGAATAAGCATCCAGAAAATAATCACTGGGCTCTTGTAAAAAAGGCATGAAGTACTTGAACCCTATGAACTCCTGTCCTAATTGGGAGGGGGGAACTGACTCACAGTGCTATTTCCTGTCTCCTAAAATTAGTGTCTTCAGGGCCAGTGTTCAGCAGACTCCTAACAGTAAGATTACTTCCTTTCTTTAGTGCAGAACAACATTGGTGGAATGAAGATTCCTTTGGAGAAAGCATAAAGAAAGATTAACATTGTTTTTTTGGGCAAAGTGTAAATTCTTTCTTAAGGGACATATTTAGGTTATAGACTACCAGATATAATTTGTGTAAACATAGGCAAATCACTTAATGATTCTAGTCTCAGTTTTCCATCTATTTCATAGTCCAGACCTTACAGAAGAATCATTTATATCTGTGATTTTGATGTTCTGCCAGCATAGGCTCCTCAGCTGTTCCTTTCAGAATAAATTGCTACCTTGATAGATCTTGACTACCTGTTTCTTGTGTGTATATGTATGTATGTATGTGTGTGTACGCGCGTGCATGTGTGTTTGTTTTTGTGTGTGTTAAAGGTGATAGTTTCGGTGGCAATGACTTATTCTAAGTGTGTTTTAAAGTGTCTTCTTAAGTAAAAGGATCAAGCCCACAGATAAATCCAGCATAGCCTGGGGCAGCTGTCTGTCAATCATTCGAGCCTAAGGATTTCTTCCTAACCATGTGACAATCAAGTTGTGAGCTAGAATTATTTTGGCATTTCTTATCTATTTATGGAGAAACAAAACTGGCAGTGAGTCCCAACACTCTGGTAACCCAAGGGAGTACAGTTCATGTGGGGGTGGAGGTGCATGCCTAAAGCTCATTCTCCACATTGTGCAATATACTAAGGCCATGATCAGCAGGGACATCTTCATTTCCACCAATGTTTGTCATCCTGCATTTGTAGCAGATAGGCCAGTTGACTCACTCCCAGCTGACGTAAGACAAGAAAATCAGTATCTCCAGTTTCTCTATATTGTATTTTGTTTCTTTGTTTTTTCCCACCTCTTTTCCAGTAGCTTGAAAGTTGTTTTTTATTTGGATTAGAATCTAGAGGCTCAGGGGATTGCGTTAGAAATAGAACTGAGTTCTCGCAATCTTTGTAGATAGGTCTTTCTTCCGTTTTGTTTTAATCTTCCTTCATAAATGTCTTTCTGTGCTGCATCCCATCCCCCAGCCTTACATTCAGCCTGCGCACGGGTAAGATATAGTCTCAATGTTGCAACCAACCACTAGTGACGATTTCGCCATCTCTTCTTCTTTTGTGAGCTTCGGTGTTTCATAATGTTAAAATAACAGTTTTAATCCTCTTTTTACACAGTATAGACAGAGAAAAAGGGTGAAGATGAAAGTATGAAATATACAAACAAAAGACCTTAAAGGTTTAATGGTGATGTAAAACGGCTGCAGTTGGTTGTCTACTTTATGCTATTATTATGAGTATTTTAATGGATTAATTTTGCAAAGTCTTATAGAATTGTTGTGTTCTTACAGCAATGGCAAACCTTGTAAATGTATAACAATGTGAAATTTTATTCATTTAACCTATATAAATATCAAGAAAATCAAGACATAAGGCCTTGGAGATGCACAGATGGTTTGGGGTTAAGAAAAGCTGCTGCTCTTCCCAAGGACTTATGTTCAGTTCCAAACACTTAAATGAGATGGCTCACATCCACCTATAACTCTGGCAATAGCTGATCATACATCTTCTGGCTTCTGCAAGCAC